GCAGAGTACATGGACAAATGCCGTTTAAAATTCTTTTATCCCAGTGATGGGATATGGATGAAATATTTCCTCGGTAGAGTTCCAAACCTCAAGCTTATGGTTCAAAGATGACCTTCTCTTCCTCAAGTGAAGATTGTTACCCTCGACGGTAATATCCTCTGTGTGGCCTGGGTAGAATTATTTTATTGAAAAAAAAAAACAACAAATTTTTTTTTGCGATTCCCCAATCAAAGTCACTTCTATCGAAGACTTACATCAGAAGGTCCCAATTCCCAGCAAGATTCTCTTTATCCTTGGAAAGAGATGTTGGATTTTTCCCTAAGAAGTTGGGAGTTGGATCAGAGTTCGAAAATTCCCCTGAACTGCAATTTATTTTTGCAGTATTTTCCCCAGTGAGGCGAGTTTTCATTCCCTAGTGGAGCTTGCTTTCTAGAACAAGTGTCATCTTCTCCCCAGTATGGTGCACATGGGAGCACCAATTTTAACTCCTTCATCCCGGAATATGAAAGATTTTGTTGAGGTGTCAGCGGTGGAGTTTCTGTCCTAGGATGTTTGGTTCTTCCCCAAGTGAAGATTTTTATCCCCCGGCGTTGTTATCCCCAGTGTGGTCTGAGTAGAATTCTATTTATTTAAGAATTTCTATACTCCCCAGTAGAAGCTATCTTCGTAAAGAAGTTCTGCACAAGAGAAAGCTTCCATCCCCAGCGAAGCTCTCCCCGTTCTAACAGAAGATAAAGTATCTATCCCCCAGGAATTTGGAAGTTTGATCAGAATTCAAGATTTTCTCTCAAACTGCAATTTATTTTTTGCAGTATTACTACCCAGAAAGTTATTTCTTCAATGTTATCAATCGTTCGAGGTTGATGGTTTCGAATCTCGATTTCCTACTGAAGTTCATATTGCATGTTCTCTACAGAAGATTAGATGTGCAAGAATAATCATTTGAAAGTTCATTGTCTTCCCAACATCCGATTATTGACGTGGTCTCCCCAGTGCATTACTAAACATGCATCATTACATTGCATCATTACATCGCATCTACTAAAATGCATATCATTTCCATTGCATGGAGCATTACGCTATAAAAAATTCAAACATGCATAAGTATAAGCCAATTATGTCCACTTGTGGTAACCAGATTGTTATGCGCTCAGATTTGATTTATCTCCATAACAAGCCTAAGGGTGACTCTATTATGTTTCCCCAGCGGGGTTTGTTTTGATTCACCATCAGTCGGGTTTTTGGTATTCCTCCATCTCCCCATTAAGTTTGTGGTTTGCGCTTGCCTTTGCAAGCCTTGTTATTTTACCCGTGTTTGCTTTGCCGTTAGAGTGCGAGTAATAGTCGGCATATAGCCTTTCTTATTTCTCAAGTATTTGAGTGTCCATACATGGTGTGTGGTAATTCAGATGATTGCCACTCTTGAAGAATTACACCCCGCCTTTGGCCTGAGGGATTTTTTAGTTCTTGCGTATTTGCAACCTATCGAAAGCCTAACATGTTTTTCTTTGTTAGAGTCTGCTTGGACCAGTCCCTTTCTCTTGCAGAGTTCACATTCGATCGGTGCTCTTTGAAGGTCCTGCTTAGTCGGTTCCTTGTTTTAGTTTATCCACGTTAGTCGGGTCCTCCCTTCGTTAGCCTAGATAATCTTTTATGTTAAGAGTCTTTCAGTGTCTCTTCAAAGTCTAGTTGTCTAGCGTCCTTATTTAGGCGAATGCGCCCTTTTTATTGGGGCTTTCTTCGGTTAGTCTCGTTCCTGTGTTCACTAGCAATTCTAAACATTTGTTTCTTGATGATCAACTTCGCTCTTGTGTATCTAACTCTGATCAGACATGCATACCTGTATCTTTCAAAACCCCGCTTCGCCTGGTATCTTTTGTCAAAATCCCGCTTCGGATGGTGTCATTCTTTTAAATACACCTTCGATTGACATCATTTGTCTGGAGTCCCATTCGTTTGGTCTCCTTCCTCATTAAGTCCGCCTTCGATTGGTGTTTCTTTGCAAGAGCTTTCTTCGGTCTGTCTCTTTCGTACGTATCCGATACCGACCACAGATATGTATCTTTGATATCTCTCTTGTGCGTATCCGATACCGACCACAAATATGTATCTTTGATGTCTCTTTTGTGCGCATCCGATACCGACCACGGATGTGTATCTTTGATATCTCTTTTGTGCGTATCCGATACCGACCACGGATATGTATCTTTGATATCTCTGTTGTGCGTATCCGACACCGACCACGGATATGTATCTTTGATATCTCTCTTGTGCGTATCCGATACTGACCACGGATATGTATCTTTGATGTCTCTTTTGTGCGCATCCGATACCGACCACGGATGTGTATCTTTGATATCTCTCTTGTACGTATCCGATACCGACCACGGATATGTATCTTTGATGTCTCTGTCGTACGTATCCGATACCAACCACGGATATGTATCTTTGATATCTCTTTTGTGCGTATTCGATACCGACCACGGATATGTATCTTTGATATCTCTCTTGTGCGTATCCGATACCGACCACAGATATGTATCTTGTCTATATCTTTTGTGCGTATCCGATACCGACCACGGATATGTATCTTTTATAGCTCTTTCTTACGTGTCCGATACCGACCACGGATATGTATTTTTGATGTCTCTTTCTTGTATATCCGCTACCAACCCTGGATATGTGTCTCTGACATTTTTTTCGTATGTCTGCTACAGGCTTCAGGCATATATCTTTTGATACCTTTCTTACAGGTGTCTGTTGCTAAATCCCAACAGATGTTCCTCGATAACCAAGTTATCCTTCGGTGTGTCAAACTCTGGTTAAACATACATCTAACCCTGATAATCCTTTTTACCAAAAAAAATATATATACAGAAGATACAAAAAACCAAAGATATAATAATACCTGACTGGCTTCGGAGCGCAAATTTTTGGGTTCTTTTAGTATTTAATCTTCTTCCACCCTGAAAGTTCGAAAGGTTGACGGCAATCTCACCTTCAGGATTGAAGGCGATTAAATAGGGGCAGCTGTTGCACCCCAAAATTTGCCCTCCTAATTTCCTTTATTTTGGCTTAGACTTTTGCATTCATCTGCATCTTTTTCATTAGGTCACTAACATGGCATACATTTCATTCAATATAGCTCTGAGGTTCAAAGTTCAGTGGTTGTGCGATACTAGGGTTTCATAGTGGTTAAGGCGCTCATATCCAATAAAGGACTTCTTCTCCCTCAAGCAGCAAGGCTATTATATTCTGATAAACAACCGATTGTAGGTCATTCTGGTCAAGAACTCTAGGACGTGACCTAGCATATGTGGGCTTCGAATCATGACATCCTTTCCTATAAGTATGCTTGTCATTTGATTAGGATTAATGACTGTGACATGACAATCGTCTACTCCTCAGTTAATCAAATTTAGGTTTTGTTGAATCATGGTTCAAAGATGTTTTATCCGGATATTTCTCTGTGCGTCTGAACGAGGAATCAAGGTTGAAGTAGGTTTCCCATAGAAGAATTCATGCAAGGTAATTCAAGGTTCAAGGCATTCAAGGCAGGGTTTGTTCAACATGGCATACCTGGTTGATGGGCTTACAAGCTCTTATGAGACCTTGAGATGCATAATCATGGGCCAATTTCAAAGATATGTGGATAAGATCTGTTGACATCGGTTAAAGTAAGCTTTGAAAAATTAACCTTGGGACCAAGGTCTCCCTTGAATTTTCATCTAATATGTGTTGGGAATTCGAGTTGCATTTGAAGAATGGTATGGTAAAGGAAAAGAAATATTGGTTCAGAAAAGAAAAAATTCATTAAAAATCAGGGTTTCTATTCATTGATAAAATTTCAAGATTGAAGTTAGGAGTTCATTGAGAATGCAAGTGTGATTTGGATTTGAAGTTTGATTTGAGTTCAAGATTTTGATTGGATTGAAGTTGGCAACGAGTCTTAAGTATTGTTCATATGGCTTTCTTGGAAGGTAAAGTGCAGACTGCGAGGTTTTGTTTCAAGTCAGAGTTCATACGCATTACAAAGATGTTCACCGTTATTTCAGATTCAAGTTCACAATGCGTTCAAACATTTATTCAAGAAAATACTATCCAATTCCATTCAATTTCATTCTCATTCATGATTCAAGAAAATACTATCCAATTCCATTCAATTTCATTCAAGTGTAACAATACCTTACAAGAAAATTTGATGCTTTCATATCTTCAAGCATTTTTTCAAGACTTTGTCATTTAAACTCCGTCCAAAAAAATTCATCACCCAACATTTCAAGCTCAAAGGTCATTTACAATTCACACTATAAATTTCAAGTTCATCCAAAACCAAACATTCATTACAATCCCATTACACCAATATTCTACAAAAAAAACTGTTACAAAATACACTTGAACAAAATTCTTTAGTCCTAAAGGTGCTAAAATTCCATGAGTAAATTTCTAATTCCATGCCATGCCAAAGTTCTTCATCTTCAGTTCATGACCAGCACATTCATACAAAAAAAAATCCAATTCAATACAAGTAATCATGCCAAAATATCCTATGCTCATACAAATTATTCGACACATGAAAAACCATTAATTAACCCAAACCAAATGCTAAACACATATATGGAACAACCTGCATACCTTAACTTTGGCAGAGAATAGATCCACATCATTCAAACTAACTGCAATTGAAAGGAAAATCAAATTCAGCTTCGGAACAATGTCATTCTTGCTGTTCCAGCATTTTTGTATGCTATAAACAACTATCTGAAGTTTGTCATACAGCTTTATTTTAATCCTGCTACTGTGAAGATGTTAAGTAATTTGAAGGTGTTAGTAATAGCACTTTTGTTAAAGGTAGTTATGAAGCGCAGGTTTTCTATCATTCAGTGGGAAGCCCTTGCTCTCTTGCTCATTGGTATAAGTGTTAATCAGCTACGATCTTTACCCGAGGGAATTACAGCTATGGGTCTTCCTCTCTCTCGCTCGATCGCATTCGTGTAACCATGAACGAGAAAGCCAACGTTTCTAAGGAGCTCAACGCCAAGCACAAAAGGATACTAGAAGGACTTCTTAAATTACCAAAGAATAGGGAGTGTGCTGACTACAAAGCTAAAGGACCAAGATGGGCTAGTGTCAATCTTGGCATCTTTATTTGCATGCAGTGTTCAGGAATACATCGAAGTCTTGGGGTACATATTTCAAAGGTTCACTCTGCTACTTTAGACACTTGTCTCCCAGAGCAGGTTGCATTTATTCAATCTATGGGAAATGAGAAAGCAAATAGTTATTGGGAAGCAGAATTACCTCCAAATTATGACAGAGTTGGTATTGAAAACTTCATCCGTGCAAAGTATAAAGACAAGAGATGGGTTGCAAGGGATGCTAAGTCAAAACCACCTTCTAGACTGGTAGAAGAGAAAAGTCATTCACAATGGCAAAAACCTGTTGAAAGAGTTGGGCATAATTATGTTGCAGAGAATACTTTTGAAGAAATGAGGACATTTACTGGACCCATTTCCAGTTCATCCATTTCACCCAATTTCTGCACGATGATTTTCAACAACAACTTGCACTTCCTAAAGCATTTTCTGACAATTTAAAGAAGAGATTGCCAGAAAATGTGGTCCTTAAAGGTCCTAGTGAAGTTGTGTGGAATATAGGGCTGGTAATTAGAGATGATTCTGTTTACTTTGTGAACGGTTGGGAACGATTTGTGAAGGATCACTCTTTGAAAGAGAATGATTTCCTTGTCTTTAAGTACAATGGTGAATCACTCTTTGAGGTTTTAGTCTTTGATGGAAACAGTTTCTGTGAGAAGGCAGCTTCTTATTTTGTTGGAAAATGCGGACCTGCTCAAACTGAACAAGGTGGTAGCAAGGCAAAGGACAACAACAATTCTGTTGAAGAAGTCAATACTGCTTCTAATGGGGGTTTTACTGTTGAGTGTGGTTCATCTGAGAAACTTCGGCATCTTAAGAAAGTAGGAGCACCATTAGCTGTACCTTTTGAAACTGCCAACGGAAAGACTTCCAATGCTGGCGTAAGAACTGATTCCCCTGAGCTGTTCATGGCTGATGCACCTACTACAGTTAATGATTCATCCAAACCCACACCGGTTGATAATAATATGGAATATGAGTCTCAGAGAGTATTGAGTAATTTGCCACAATCTGAACTCCGGCTCCTGTGCTCGCTGCTTGCACATGAAGGTTTGTCAGAAAATGCATATACTCTTGTTGCGGAGGTAGTGCAGAAATTGGTGGCCATTGCTCCAACTCATTGTCAGCTTTTTGTCACTGAGCTAGCTGAGGCAGTTCAAAATTTAACATCTTCTGCAATGGCCGAGTTACATGTATTCGGTGAAGCTATGAAAGCTCTTCTTAGTACCACATCTACAGATGGAGCTGCAATTTTGAGAGTTTTGCAAGCCCTGAGTTCCCTTGTCACATCACTAACTGCTGAGGATCACGGTGATAGAGTTACTCCTGCTGCTCTTTCAGAGGTTTGGCAAATCAATTCAGCATTAGAACCATTGTGGCACGAGCTGAGCTGTTGCATAAGCAAAATAGAGTCCTACTCTGAATCTACATCTGAGCTCTTCACCCCATCTACATCATCTGCTTCTCAACCCACTGGTGCCACGCCTCCACTTCTAGCTGGCTCTCAAAATATCTTGCCATACATAGAATCTTTCTTTGTGGTTTGTGAGAAATTGCACCCCACACAGCTAGGTGTTAATCATGACTCAAGTATTCCTGTTATTTCTGATGTTGAGAATGCAAGTACATCTGCATCTCAGCAGAAAGTATCCGGACTTGGTATAAAAGTAGATGAGAAGAATATAGCTTTTGTTAGGTTCTCAGAGAAGCATAGAAAGCTTCTAAATGCTTTTATAAGGCAAAATCCTGGTTTGCTTGAGAAATCTTTCTCCCTCATGCTGAAGGTTCCAAGATTTATTGATTTTGATAACAAACGGGCCCACTTCCGATCAAAAATTAAGCATCAGCATGACCATCACCATAGCCCCTTAAGAATATCCGTAAGAAGGGCATATGTTCTAGAAGATTCTTATAACCAGCTTCGCATGAGACCAACTCAAGATTTGAAGGGAAGCTGAACTGTACTGTAAAACTGTAGCTCAAGTGTTGGATCTTGAGATACTTTTTGGGAGGTTGTGGACACAGTGTTAGGAGTGCCAAGGTTCACTTCATCAGGATGTTCTCTGCACAAGTCGAGATTGTCCAATTTTTTTATCGACGCAAGAAGGCACAGAAAGACATGGCTGAAGCAAGGGTGCAATTGGACAGATGGAACTTCTAACTTCTAAGGCTTTTCTAGTACTTGGGAAAATTCTGCAGGTTACATGGGATGATCCTGATTTAGTTACAAATACGAAGAGGCTGAACCCCCCCTAGCGACTTTCTAAGAGATTGATAACTAACTTCCATAACCCAAAAATTCTAACAGCCCATAACTAATTGCTAACCTCCTAACCATCCTCAAAAACGGTCCACACTGCAAACAGCTAACAAAAAACCAAAAGTGAATCCACAAATACCCATTCATAACTAACTTTTCCCTAACTTCTAACTGTAACCAACTTTCCATTTCCCAAACCATAACTAACCTAACAGCATCTTAACCTCCTAACCGAATTTTTGTTAACCAACCTCCTATAACAAACTGCCAGTACATATATACCAGAGATTGATAGAATAAGAGAGGGGGATTCAACACAAAAAAAGAATTTATTACCTCTCAATCATCTCGTTCTTCACCATTTTTGAAGAATCCACACCAAGAAAATCTCCATAAAAATTCTCAGTGCTCCCTCTCTGCAATCTTCAACTTCCATAACCCAATCTTCATCATAATTCCTGCAATCTTCAAAACTTCATCCATCATTTACAACAAGCTTCTTCTGCAGCTCATAACCATCATCATCTTCATTGTCTCAATCCCATGTATGCAACCGTTTCAATGTGCCAATCTTCTGCATCTCCAAGTTGCTGCATCATATTCAACGAAAATCCACAACAACAACAACAATCTTCATTGATTTTGAAACGCAGCACATCAATCAACACCAAATGCAGTATCGAACGTGAAGAAGAAGAATGAGTGAGCAAACATGGTTTGAAGCAAGAAGCTGAGACGGCGCGACGGAGATCATCGGAAAAGGAATCGGAGAAGACGAGGAAGCGAAGGCGGGGAGAGTGTGAAGGGAGATCGCGCCACCGTTGATCAGAGAAGAGAAGACGCTTCGGTAAACCCCTTTAACTCACTCTTGCGATTTCTTTTTTTTTTTAAATCAAGAACGAATTTGAATCGCTAAGAGATGAGAGGAGGCAAGCATTGAGGTTGTGCGATGAAGGCTTGGCCATGGCAGAGAGGAAGGTGAACGCCGTCGTGGAAGAAGAGAACAACCACATCTTCAACCCTAAATTCCCTTTTTTTTATTTTTCATTCAGTTCCCTTTTTTTCTTTTTTTTTTACTTTCTTTTTGTTATGTTTTAATTCTTTTAATTCAGATAAATATAATTATAAATATAATATGATGATTAATAATATGGGCCAAACTAATCAATTCTCGGACTATGATTATTTTTATTTTTCTTGCTGATTGTGTCCATTTTTGATGGGGCCTAAGGTCGTTGTATTTTTTGCAGCACATAGTGAATTTAGTTCGAACCTCCTGAGATCTTATTTCCCATACTCATTTCGATTGCGATTAATTTTGGCGATTTATTTTCTTTGGAAATATTGGTAAATAAAAGAGACTTGAGTGAGGAGTTTCATGAAGTTTCAAAGCTAGCTAAGAGCATAATTTTCAATCATTCGCTCAAGGAAGCTTTGATAGAATTCTCTTTCGGCTTGCATGGTTAAGAAGAGGCGACAGACCTTCTCCGTTCGGTATCGTCACAACTCTATTTTTACTCCTGCACTTTACTACTTTCTAGGTAGGATTCCCTCGAGATTCCAACTTTAGGTCTAATACACGATAACATTAGATTTAGAAATAGGCTAGTCTTCCTGTGACTTTCGTCTTCTTGTGACTTCGTCTTCCTGTGACTTTCGTCTTCCTGTGACTTTCGTCTTCCTGTGACTTCGTCTTCCTGTGACTTTCGTCTTCCTGTGACTTTCGTCTTCCTGTGACTTTCGTCTTCCTGTGACTTCGTCTTCCTGTGACTTTCGTCTTCCCGTGACTTTCGTCTTCCTGTGACTTTCGTCTTCCTGTGACTTTGTCATCCTGTGACTTTCGTCTTCCTGTGACTTTGTCTTCCTGTGACTTTCGTCTTCCTGTGACTTTCGTCTTCCTGTGACTTTCGTCTTCCTGTGACTTTCGTTTTCCTGTGACTTTCGTCTTCCTGTGACTTTTGTCTTCCTGTGACTTTCTTTCCTCCTTTGCATATGCAGTTAAAACAAAAAACTTTCTTTTTACAAACTTCAAAAATACATAAAAATTTACTGACAAAAACCATGTCTTGGCTAAGTTTGAGAGATGATGAGCGGGTTTCTTCTCGACATTATTATTCTCTTATTCTAAGCTTTGGTATGATTTAAGTCTCAAAGACTCATTTCATGAATAAGTAGAGAAATGGCTAAAATCTCTCTCTTGAGGTTAACTAGCTATTATCTACAAGCAAAAACACCAACAAACATAAAAATCTTTTCGCCCTCGGGCCTTTCTTTCAAACCCTTTTCAAAAGAGCGTATTAATTCACTTCTGTGCTGACGCGTAAATCTCCAAAGGTCGAGTTGCGGTAGAAGGCGAGATTAATACTGTTCGTTAAAGAAAAAACAAACAAACAAAAACACATAAGCCAAACTACGGCTGCTCTGATTCCTTAAAACGGATACGTAGGCATTGGGGTAGGGCCCAGGCGAGCACAATTTTATTTTCCCTACATTCTTTTCTCTTTTCTTTTGCATGCACTTTCCCTTTAGCAGTAGTAAACAGTAAGCATAGATTAAACACACCCATAAGATAGATAACAAGAGTGGATACCATAGAGTACTACGGGCGTGTGGGGTGCTAATACCTTCCCCTCGCGTAACAGACTCCCTTACCCGATCTCTCGGTCGCAAGACCGTGACTTCTCCCTCATCAGGTTTTCTCGATGTTTACCTTTCCCTCCATGTGGGATAAAAGACGTTCGATGGCGACTTCATTGTTTTGATGATTTTCAGCCGGTTGTTTCAGGGTTACCTTAGGGATAGATCACCTTTACTTGCTTACATTGTTTAGTTTGTGTGCTTTACATTTTGGTTATTTGCTTAGGTTTGTTTTAAATCCTACACCCGGATTTGGGGACACCTTTTTAGGTAAGTAGCAATAAACTGTGAGGGAACTATGCGGGGTATACCGACACGGTTGAAGCAGTAGCTACGTTGATGTGACACTTTGGTTGGTACCGGTAACCCTTGAGTCAGTCAAGGAGAGTACGGGGCCGCCACGTGGTGTCATAAAGCATCAACTGAACTTAGAACCTTACTTGACCAACTTGGCCATTAGAAAATAGCGAGATAACCGGCTTTGGTGCAGTCCGAATTTGGTTGATACTCGATGCTACCCTCATTGAGGTTTGACTCTTGAGTTTTGTTTGGTTGCGAGTCAATTTCTTATTGAACGAGACTTGGGGGAAAGATCAGTGATATTGAGATCCCTTAGAACCCGATTACTTTTAACTAGGACAGGTTGAGCCAACTAAACTTCAAGAGGGTATTTACCTACAAACCCCATGCAAGCCTAAACCAAGGACTTGTTTGCTTTGTATATACACTTGTACATAACATTATAAGAATCATAAGCATCATAAACATCACTAACCATTTCAAGGATTTTTGGATTTATCTTTGTTCTGTTTTGTAGGACATGGCCTCCACTCGTAGGAGCACTATCCAAGTCAGTCTTGTGAGGATACCTCCACAACTAAAAGATTTAGTATCAAGGGTCCCTGAAGATTCTCCGTTCACCAAAAGACATGGTCGACTCCTTAGTCTGGTTACCTCAAGTATTGAAGAAGATATGGTAAAGGTGCTTGTCCAATTCTTCGACCCTTTGCATCATTGCTTCACTTTTCCCGATTACCAACTTGTGCCCACTTTGGAAGAATTTTCTCAACTCATAGGGATTCCTATTCTGATCGGTTACTTTTCAACGGTATTGAAAGATACCCTAAACCTGAGGAAATTGCTCGAGCTCTACATTTGCAACCATCTGACATAGTAGCAAATTGGGTAACAAGGAGTGGTGTTAAAGGGTTACTAGCAAAGTCTTTCTTGGAGAAGGCTCAAGAGTGTTGGAATACTTTGGATCTACAAGCCTTCGAGCAAATTTTGGATCTTCTTATATATGGTTTGGTACTATTTCCAAATCCTGACCAATTTATAGATGTGAATGCGATCAAGGTTTTCATATCTCATGATCTGGTGCCTACATTGCTCGGAGACATATTGCATTCTCTTCACTCTCTCACTTTGAAGAAAAGAGGGACTTTGATGTGTTGCACTCCTCTGTTGGCTAGGTGGTTTATTTCGCACCTACCCTGATCCGTGGTGAAGAATGAACGAGGTATGAGATGGTCTAAAATATTGATGTCACTTTCACATGCTGATATCCGTTGGTATTATCGCTCTTTGGAAGACATTACCATCATTGACCGCTGTGGAGAATTCCATAATGTCCCTCTACTTGGCATTATGGGAGGCATTACTTACAACCCTTGTTTAGCTTTGCGACAATTTGGATATGCTAGGAGAGATGGCCCTCATGAGGTACTCATCCAAGGAATTGCATTTGACTACGAAAGCGATACCCAAGGTTACCGCCAAATATTTATACGAGCTTGGGGTATGGTTAACAAAGTTGATAGCAAGACGTTGGGGCGTAAGAATTCCATTCCTTTGGAGCCTTATCTTAAATGGGTAAGGGCACGCGCTCAAAGTCTTAAGATGCCTTATGAAGCCGTCTTACCTGTTATCATGGAGCCAGTAGTCGAGGGAGACACTCCACATACGATCCTCTATCCTGATATGCCTACTACTTTTGAAGATTTGCAACACGCTTGGATTCAGTTAAAAGGAGAGCGAGACACCTTTGAAGCTAAGTTCTAT